GCAATTGAAAGAGAAGTGTGTAGTGTGCATGTGTGTGTGTGTGTGTTGTGCACCATGACATGCATTTGAACGTTGGGTTTTCCTGTGGGGGGTTCTGTGTGTTTCCACCCACAAGTACTTATATTACTATTGAGATGACACACACACACACACACACACATGCCAACACCACACACCAAACCACATGTATGCACACAACACACAAGCACACACAAGTGTGTGTGTGCACACACACACACACACACACACCACATACACACATGCCACAGCACAACACACACACAAATAAGTTCAGCATTCATATGATTATGGGAATAAAAGTGCCATTTGCATATGGTGGCAAACAAAAATAACAAGCCAAGAGAGGGGACAAGTGTGCCAGGTGAGGGTAAGGCAAACAACATAGTCAGGTATAACATACAAGGGGGTGTTGCATATGAGCATGTAGGGCATGAACAGGGGAACAGGATGGTATGCATCTCAAGGCAAACAGACGAAGGTGGGGCCAGCTAGAGTGTCTACAAGAAACCGGCCAATAGGAAAATAGGGCATAAATGCACAAACCAATGAAAAAATAGCAGAAAATCCTGCTTGCACGCCATTGGTCCAGGAAACTCCCCTAACCCTAACCCTAACCCTAACCCTAACCCTAACCCTAACCCTGAGGGGGGTCCTTCTAGGCTGGCTTTGCAGTCCTCTCTGATAAGCCCCTCACCAAGAACTTTAGGGATGCTGGTTCTGCTCCTTTTCCACTCTTACACAGCAATGATGGCATCTCACATTTTGCCCTTGCAGACAAGCTCCTGGCACTGGTGAAGCAAATGGGGCTCCTCTTTGGTCTCATGCACAACTACTCTGGCTACCCACTGGTAAGGACCAACAGAATGGCGTCACCATCATCAGCTTGAACATCCCATCCTATCTTGTGGGTGGCAGGTCAAGGAGGCGCACAAGCTTGTCAAAGCAGGTAAGTTGGGTCAGTTGCGCAAGGTGGTCATTACCTACGCCCAGGGATGGCTCACCAGAGAAGGCAGCAGCATCACCCACACCTCTGGTCTCTCCTCCCTTGGTATGTCATCACCACATTCTTGCCTGGACACATGTTCCTGTCATGTTTCTTGCTGACAGGAATCAACCAATCTTTTTTGTCAATCTGGTGCAGTGGATGTGGGCACTCATGCAGAGCATCTGATGGTGTGCAACCACTGAAAATGTGGTGGTGAGCACTGTGTTCTGGACTCACCTGTTGGCGGTGTGTCTGGCAGTGGTACATCACAGGGCTTGAGCTGTTGGAGCTATGTGCAGATATCACCACTTTCATGGGTGGAGGTGTGTTTCCTTCCCTTGGATGCCACTGACCTTGCTTCTGATGTGGTGCCATCTTGCACAGTTCATGAGCTGGACAACTTCAATGTCCTGCTTCACTTCAAAGGTGGCACCAAGGGGGTATTCATTGCCTCACAGGTCAGATCCCCACCTCTCTCCCTTGTAACTGAGTGGCCAAGTCAAAATGCGCCTTTTGCTCCTTATGCAGAGCTCCACTGGCAAAGGGAATGGCCTGAAGATTGAGGTCTATGGCAGTGACGCTGCACTGGAATGGGCACAAGAGGAGCCCACCCACCTCCTCATCCATCCCAGGGACACACCTGAACAGGTACTGGATGTGAACTTCCCAAACAAAGCACATGAAACCAAGACATGTTCATGCTATTTGTGCTTGCTACAGCTGTACAAAGCGGGCAATGGCTACCTGTCGCAGGCTGCCACAATCCACATGCACCTGCCGCCAGGTCATCCTGAAGGCTACTTGGAAGCGTTCACCAACATCTATCTCAACTTTGCCAATATGATTTGTGCCACTGTCCTCAAGGTACTCCTACATGATCTAATTCCTGTCTTGTCAAATGCTGGTCAACTTGTTGCTGTCTGTCATTAGGAGGCACTTAGTGAGACTGATCCCAGAGGTGACTTTCCCACTATTGTGGTACAGGACTGGCATGCACGCTTGCACAATCACCAAATAGAGGCATCTAATGGATCTTGTATTGCAGGATGGCTGTAAGGGCATTCACTTTGTGGAGAAAGTGCTTGAGAGTGGGAAGAAGCAGTCATGGGTGAAGATGGAAGCTGTAGCTGATTTGTAAGATCTCATGGCCACTGTCAAGTGTTTCTGGTATTTCTTGATATCGTTTTTGCATGCAAGCGTCATCACCAAAGCTTTTTCCACAAAAATGACCTATAAGAAAGCCATTCATTTTATGACGACTCCTTGAACTACGGAGTTTCCTGAGAGACAACAATACGAACGGAACATTCGAGAAGTGTTCATTCGGCCGGTCTTCATTGTTTATTGTAGTTATTCGTGCGAGACTAAGAGGAAGAGGAGTAGGAGTAGGAAATGAAAAGGCATCGCCAGGCAACATTCTATGGGAACTACATGAAGTTCACCGACGACGACATTGAGGTGTATGGGAATTACAACTCTGTCAAGGGGTCGCGCTGCAAGGTATACGGAAACTACAACGAAGTATACGGCGCAAGCTCTAGCGTCGTGGGAAACTACAACGATGTCTATGGGGAAGGCAGCAACGTGACCGGCGCGCGTGAGTGGAACAAGTTTGAAAACGCCACCTGCTAAGAGAGAAAGGGAGTCCGGTCCATATTTGTGGCGAATCTCAAGCCGCAAACTGTGTGTTTGCCCACCGATCGACCCATCCGAGTGGTGGGCTTGGGTCCGAGCACCCCTTTAAGGCGGCTTCCGCCAGTAGCGCCATTGGCCACTGAATCGGATTTTTGTAGACTGATGGCGCAACACTGCGTCACAACGGGAAATGGAGAAGAAACTAGTTTTGTTCATCCTCGCTGAAGATCTAGATTGGTGTGTTGCGCGGTGTAAAGCAGGCTGTGATGCCATTTCTTAAGTCGCGATGGTAGGGGGGTCCTGTGGCCATGTACAAGTGAGATTCGGTATGTAGATTTGTCAATGTTTGATTGAAATTGAAGTACCTTGGCATGGGCTTTGATGGTGTGTGGTTGGTGGTGATGTCGCATATGGGCGAGGACGAGGTCGCGGTCA